CCTCCCAGGAGTCCCCACACGGCCTGTTTGGGATGCAGGTAAGTGCAGGGTACGCGCAGAGGCTTAGGGAGGGTGAAAAACGGGCCTCCCAGAAGTTCGGGCCCATTTCCGGCTTCCAGAGAGCCTCCGGAGCCCGGCGAGGCCATTTTCACCCTCCTGGAGGCTTGAGGAAAGCCTCCGGAGGCCGGGGAGGGCAAAAATGCCCCCCACCACCATGGTGCAGGAGGCCGACTAGGCCACACCCACCATGGCCACGCCCACCCAGCAACCGGGTAGAGAACCCTTTGCTAAAAATTTTGAAGCCCACCCCGGGCTAGAAGCTCTAACATATGAAGAACAATTGCAGGAATTGTGCACGTCTAATGTGATGAAAAGACAAGAGGTGACATGATAGCAGTGTTCCAATATCTCGGGGGGCTGCCACAAAGAAGAGGGTGTGTGTGTCAAGATATTTTCCAAAGCACCTGAAGGCAGGACAAGAAGCAATGGGTGGAAACTGATCAAGGAGAGAAGCAACCTAGGACTAAGGAGAAACATCCTGACAGTGAGAATAATTGATCAGTGGAACAACTTGGCTCCAGAAGTTGTGAATGCTCCAACACTGGAAGTTTTTAAGAAGAGGTTGGATAACCATTTGTGTGAAGTGGTGTAAGGGTTTCCTGCCGAAGCAGGGAGTTGGACTAGAAGACCTCCAAGGTCCCTTCCAACTCTGTTATTCTGTTCTGTTATCCTGTTATTTCTGTATCCAGCCCAAAGAAAGTCCAGACTGGCACAGGATCTCCTGCCATAGGCAGGGGATTAAACTAGAAGACCTACAAGGTCCCTTCCACCTCTATTATTCTACCCTATGTTCTAATGCAGGGGGTCTTGGAACTTGGCAGCTTTAAGATTTGTGGGCTTCAACTCCCAGAATTCCTCCTCCAGTCATGTTAGCTCAGGAATAATTCTGGGAGTTGCAGTCCAACTTGCCAAGTTTGAAAGACCCTTGATCTAATGTGTTAGTTGTCAGTTTCTGGCACCCTCCATCCTCAAAGAGCCCCTGCTAATTTCACAATTGAGGTCACCTGGTCATGATGAGAGAAAACATGATACATTGTTAGGAAAACAGGAAGATTTGACCAGGATAGGGAAAGTAAATAAGATAAGAACACCCATCCAAGGAAAAGCTTGGCAATAAATATAAGATAAAACACTGAGGCACAGGAAACAATGTCATGCTGACCCCAAGTTGGTAGTTTAGCATATAGAAAAGAAGGGGGGGCAAGGGGGGGGGCTTTCTAGGTGTGGTGTGTTCGGTGCAGGGGTATAAAATGTATTGTTTAAGTAGTGAAATTTGTTCTCCTTGTACTCAATCCACTTGGGAAGGGTCCTGGAGGCTGCCTTTGCAACTTCTTTTCTTTCCTTCAATAAACTTTTGAAATTTTGCATCAGGGACTTGTCCCCGTGTTGTGAGTATTTGCAAATTTATTTGGGGGGGGGCTCTTAAATCTCACAATGAGACCATTTCTTCTTGAGATATGTGGAGGAAGAATGGCAGGGAATGAACCCAGAGAACACTCATACAGAAATCCTGGATTGTTTCATCATTTGGCACCACCTGTTTTTGCTCTTTTGCATTATGGAGTTACTGTCTCGTAGCTGTTTCTGTCAGCCTCCCAAGCAGACCAGACAGGAAATATGACAAGGTGAGCTAATTCTACTTTATTATAAGGTTGCAATAACAGAACCTTACAAGTGTGAAAGAATAAATCTCCTGCTACCATTTTTTTTACTGCCGTATAAGCTAGGGTGATTCTTTTGTAAATTTCTTTCTCTGCTCTTTGTTCAGCTGCAGGCTGCCTCCTTATCTGATCATCCTGTAGACAGCATTGTTTATTCCCTTTCCAAGGTCATTTTCACATACCATTAAAGTTTTTATTTACCCCAAAACTACAGCTGCATCAACACTGTCTGCTAGTCCATTTTTGTAGAATAAACCACAATTGGCTGTTAAGACTTTACTAAGTCATAAATCACAGTTCACAAGTTAAAGTGGGAGAACCTATTAATTTAAAAGCAAAAATACCACATTACATGGCATCATATTCCTGTAAATTTAATCTAGATTTTAGTTAATACTGAGCTGGACACAATTCCTGGTCATAAATAAATACTTGCTATCTGTCCACTATTGTCTCCCCCTTTTGTTATGTGTATAAATCTTATGATGTATAGATTTTTTTTCTAGTCACCCACTTGCACTACATGTCCAATGTATGCAGATTTATGTCTGCTAATCAAAAACTCAACTGTTCTGGATGGACTAGTTTGACTTGCAGTCCGTGGTTTTCTTAGTAATTATACATTTAATCTATACAGTAATCCCCACTTTACAACCATTTGAAGTCACAATAGATCTTATAGTCATAAAATGAAAATTCAGGTAGTTAGTTACTGCCATATATGTACAATGTTTGCTGGGTCCTGTAGTTGTCATTCATACCTTCCTAGTCAACTTCCCACAAGCAAAGATAATAGGGGAAACAGGATTTGCTTAACCATGTAGTACAGTGATTAAGAATACAGATAATCAGAGTTGGAAGGGACCTTATAGGTCATCTAGTCCAACCCCCCACCCAAGCAGGAGACCCTACACCATTTCTGACAGATGGGAAAGTCTCTTCTTGAAAGTCTCAAGTGATGGCGCTCCCACAACTTCCGAGGGCAAACTGTTCCATTGGTTGATTGTTCTGTCAGAAAGTTTCTCCTTATTTCCAGGTTAAATCTCTTCTTGTTCAGATTTGCTTAACAACTGCCTAATTTAGCGATAGAAAATCTGGTTCCAACTATGTTCATAAATCAAGGACCACCTATATATAATTCCGGCAAGAGCCATTGTCTACTTTCTTATTAAAAACAGAAGTTGTCAAGTTTCCTTTTGAGAAAGACATTGCCACTTTTTCTTCTGTTTGTTTCCAGTGCAAACTAATGGAAGAAAAAGTGGAAATATTGTTATTTGTCAAAGGAAAACTTCACAACTTCTGTTTTTAATGAGAAATTAGACAATCGCTCCATTCTAATGGCAGGAAGTGAAGAGGAACTAAAGAGCCTCTTGATGCGGGTGAAGAAGGAAAGCGCAAAAAGTTGGCTTGAAACTCAACATTAAGAAAACTGAGATCATGGCATCGGCCCTCTCAATTCCTGGCAAATAGAAGGGGAAGAAATGGAGGTAGTGACAGATTTTATTTTCCTGGGCTCCAAGATCACAGCAGATGGGGACTGCAGCTAATAAATTAAAAGACACTTGCTCCTGGGGAGGAAAGCTATGGCAAATCTAGACAGCACACTAAAAAGCAGAGACATCATCCTGCCAACAAAAGTGCGTATAGTCAAGGGTCTGGTTTTCCCAGTTGCAATGTATGGCTGTGGAAGGTGGACCATAAGGAAGGCTGAGCACCGAAGAATTGAGGCCTTTGAACTCTGGTGCTGGAGAAGACTCCGGCGAGTCCCTTGCACTGCAAGGCCATCCAACCGGTCAGTCCTAGAGGAGATCAACCCTGACTGCTTTTTAGAAGGCCGGATCCTGAAGATGAAACTCAAATACTTTGGCCACATAATGAGAAGGAAGGACTCGCTGGAGAAGAGCCTAAGGCTGGGAACGATCGAGGGCAAAAGAAGAAGAAGGGGACAGCAGAGAATGAGGTGGCTGGCTGGAGTCACTGAAGCAGTAGGTGTGAGCTTAAATGGACTCCAGAAGATGGTAGTGCAGGGGTCACCAACCTTCTGGACCTCAGGGAACCACCAAACTCATAATTTTAGATCCCAGGGACTACTAACCAGTTCTGTGGGCATGGCCTAATTTGTGGGCGTGGCTTGGTGGTCATGTGACTGGCTGGGCATGGCTTGTATGTAAATATTATAAATATTTATATAAATATCAAATTTTTTATTAAAAAAGAGCAACTTTTACCAAAACCAGGCAAAGCAGGCAGGCAGATTGAGTTGCTCACAGAATCACAGATTCATTCAGAGATCTATGTATCTGCCATTGGCTAGCTCAGTCTGTCACATAAAATTTACTTGCAAGCAAACTCACAAAATTAACTCACAACACACCATGCATGTAAATATTGATTTTTTTATTTAAAAAAAGAGCAACTTTTACCCAAAATCAGGCAAAGCAGGCAGATTGAGTTGCTCACAGAATCATTAAGTGATCTATCTATCTGCCATCGGCTAGCTCAGTCTCTCAAATTTGCTTGCCGTGAGTCTGCACTGAATTTGCTTGCAAGCAAACCTTCAGTCCTAAGGGAGGTTTGGCTGTGCTGAGCCAAAGATCTAAAGACTAGCTAGAAAGCAAGAAATCCAACCATTTCCTGCTTCCTAGCTAATCTAAATCTCCCAGCACAGCAGAACAGATGATGGTCGGAAAAAGGAAAAATAGCAATTTAGCAGGCAAGTTTGCAGGGTAAGGAGTGAGTGGGCGGGGAGGGTTCCCGCGGGCCATGTGGGCGGCGCAGCCTTGTGTTTCTGTGCAGCCTGGATTAATTGCTTTGTGAGGGTGCTCTAGGGGTGAGATTTCTCTGTGGCCCACCAAAATTTTATCACGGCCCGCCGGTTGGCGACCACTGTGGTAGAGGACAGGAAGGCCTGGAGGAACATTGTCCATGGGGTAGCGATGGGTGGGACATGACTTCGCAATTAACAGACAATGGCTCTTACCCGAATTATATACAGATAATCCTTGATTTACGAATATAATTGAGATTTTCTACTGCTAAATAAGGCAGTTTTTAAGTGAATCACTGAAGTGACTCAGGTGTTTGTTAAGCAAATTCGGCTTCCTCTATTATTGTTGCCAATTTTTTTCAAATCACATCTGTTTTTTATTGCTTTCTTTTTCAGAGTTTCTACTTGCACTCCATTCTCATAAATTATAATCAATACAGCATTTTCTACTTACAGAAACAAAGAAAATTAAAAAAAAACCAAGAATTATGAAACATTTCAAAGTTATTTACCTTGTTAATCATTCATGTTTTCACTTTTTTCAAGTATTAAGCAAGGCGGATGGTCCTTCACCAAGACCTGTTGAAAAATCAATGTGAGATTTTTAAAAAAGTAGACAGAAACATACTAATTGTCAGTGCTTGCAAAACAAAGCCATTATTACTCCTTAACTATACATTTAAATGCATTCACAATATATACCTGCCCATTACATAGTGTTTGTTATAATTTCAATATCTCCAATATCTCAGGGGCTGCCACAAAGAAGAGGGAGCCAAGCTATTCTCCAAAGCACCTGAAGGCAGGACAAGAAGCAATGGGTGGAAACTAATCAAGGAGAGAAGCAACTTAGAACTAAGGAGAAATTTCCTGACAGTTAGAACAATTAATCAGTGGAACGACTTGCCTCCAGAAGTAGTGAATGCTCCAACACTGGAAGTTTTTATGAAGAGATTGGACAAACATTTGTTTGAAATGATAGAGCATCTCCTGCTTGAACAAGGAGTTGGACTGGAAGACCTCCAAGGTCCCTTCCAAGTTGTTATGCTATTCTTATCTACAGGCAAAGATTTCTTTCCCTTGCACAGAAAAAGAATGCCACTTCAATGCATGAATATTCTTTAAGACGGTCCATGTCACACAATAAAAAATTGCTGTGACAAAAGTAAGTAGCATTCTAGGGTTGATTTTCCATATTATGCTAAAGTACATTTCCCTTGACTCAGATCAGCTGCAGAAACAAATACAAACTTGTTTTTAAACCTGAATATTAAAGCCTTCTCTTTCATCATACCACAAATGTTGTTTAAAACAGCAATTTCCCAGTCTATAACTACACCCCAGGTACTCCCCTCCCATAATTGCTTCACAACCTCAGTGAAAAATATAACCTGCAGCTAAACACCTTAGCTGATCAAAACAGACCCAAAATGTACCTAGGTTTTTAATAGTCACATTTTGTTACACATCAAACTAAACTTTAGGCTGTTTAAATAACAGGCCAGCAGGAGGAATATTATTTTAGCTGCTGATATCAGTGTTTGTGGCTGAGGCTTGCAGTTGGTTGACTTTGCTTTTGCGATGTTGTTAGAAGTGCATGAACCCATGTTTGCATGTCAAAAAGGTCAGCCAGCAAAAACAGAACACCAAGAGAATGCAACACTGATAACATAACAGCAGGTTGATCTTTTCACACAAGCTTTCCCTCGCACATATGTGCTAGTCATTTCCGGCTCTAGGGGACGGTGCTCACATCCATTACAAAGCCAAAGAGCCAGCACTGTCTGAAGACGTCTCCGTGGTCATGTGGCTGGCATGACTAAATGCCAAAGGCGCACGGAACGCTGTTACCTTCCCGCCAAAGGGGTCCCTATTTTTCTACTTGCATTTTTACATGCTTTTGAACTGCTAGGTTGGCAGAAGCTGGGACAAGTAACGGGAGCTCACTCCACTATGTGGCACTAGGGATTCGAACTGCCGACCTCTCTGGTCGACAAACTCAGCGTCTTAGCCACTGAGCCCCCACGTCCCTCTTAAGCTGCCATTAGAATCACATTAAAGATGAGCCTCTGTGGCACAGTGGTTAGAGTGCAGTACTGCAGGCTACTTCTGCTGCCTGCCTGCAATTTGACAATTCAAATCCCGCCAGGCTCAAGGTTGACCCAGCCTTCCATCCTTCCGAAGTGGGTAAAATGAGGATCCAGATTGTTGGTAGCAATAGGCTGACTCTGTAAAACCACTCAGAGGGGGCTGTAAAAGCACTGTGAAGCGGTATATAAGTCTAAGTGCTATTGCTACTTCAATGATCCAGGTTATTAAAGCAGCAGCATCTTATGGAGGCTCCCACACAGACCTTCCCGTTTAACGAACACAAAGTAACTGCATTCACACAGGTTCCAAAATATTTCAAATCTCATATGATGAATGCACAGCTCTGGAACATGCATTGTTCCTTACACTCTGTGACAAGTTCACCAATTCTTTTTCTTTTCGCTGATGATGTAAAGCTATTCAACACCACCGACCATCCTGCTACCTTTCAAAAAGACCTCGACTATGTGTCAGAATGGTCAAATAAATGGCAACTTCAAATCTCAACAAATAAATGCTCTGTCTTACATATTGGCAAAAAAAAATATCAGAAAATAAAATACAAGCTGAATAGTCAAGACCTTGTTGATGATCCAAACTCTGTAAAGGACCTTGGAGTACTCATCGCTAATGATCTAAGTGCTAGAGCCCACTGTAACTACATAGCCAAAAAGGCATTAAGAGTTGTTAACCTAATCCTACGTAGCTTTTTCTCTGGTAATATCACACTACTAACTAGAGCATACAAAACATTTGCTAGACCAATACTCGAATACAGCTCATCAGTCTGGAACCCGCATTACGTATCTGATATTAACACAATTGAGAAAATCCAGAAATATTTCACAAGAAGAGTTCTCCACTCCTCTACTAGTTGCAGAATACCTTATGCCACCAGACTTGAAATTTTAGAAAACCTAGAACTATGCCGCCTTCGATCCGATCTAAGTATAGTATATAAAATCATACATTGCAATGTCCTACCTGTCAATGAATACTTCAGCTTCAACCAATACAAGAGCAAACAATAGATACAAACTCAAGGTTAACCGCACCAAACTTGATTACAGGAAATACGACTTCAGCAACAGAGTGATCAATGTCTGGAATATTCTACCTGACTCTGTGGTTTCTTCCCCAAACCCCAAAAACTTTAACCTTAGACTGTCTACTATTGACCTCACCCCTTTCCTAAGAGGTCTGTAGGGGGCATGCATAGGCGCATCAACGTGCCTATCGTCCCTGTCCTATTGTTTCTTTTTATTTTTCTTATATGTGTCCATTCCATGTAATCATAACTATGTTTATACTTATACCTGTTATCTTATAATCGTTTGACAAAAATAAATAAAATAAATAAGTAGAGAAATTCTACTAAACTTACACCCTATAAATACGATCATTTTTGTAAACCCAACGTATGCAATAGATGGGGGGAAAAACTTCAACAAATGCACCCAACTTCCTTCAAATTTTGCAACTTTGGAAAATGCTGGGATATTCTTTAGAATCCTTTCCCTCTTTTCTACTACTTTATCTACACTTCTTTCCCACTGTATTAAATTTCTTCTTCTCCCTTAACTCCAAATCCGCACCGTTTCAATTCTGCTTTAACACGTCAAATTAAACATGATTTTAAAAAGGGAAACGGAATGCAGAGCCTCCTTTTTAAAAATAAATAAATAAATTATCTGCCGCACCCAATTTTTTGTTGGACCTTAAAGAGCAATTAAAAAAAAATAACATTAATACAATTTAATAGCAACCGAATCGACAAGCTGGGAACTATAAAGCGTTCAACTTGAGAGCTTCCAAACTTGGAAAGGGTTCCTTGGCTCCGTTTCTGAACCAAGCGCCGATCCGATCTGCGGCAATTAACGGCAGATCCCGTTTACACGACAAAGGAACCAGAGATAAAGAAGCCACGCTTAAAAGCCCAAAACAAGCCAACCAACCCTGTATTTTTCTCCAGGCGATAAAGACGTTCCCTTGCTGACTTCCTGCACGCTGAAACCTCCTCGAAAAAGAGAAAAAGCTTCTTCTCTTCTCCCCGCAAATTAATCACATTCCGGTTTGGGGCGTTTAAGAAAGAGCAGCAAGCTGGATTTACAAGCATGGCAAGGCAAAGCGAGGCTTCAATAGAAGCTTGACTGCGCCCCTGGAACGCGCAGCCATTGGCTGCCGCGGGAGGCGTGAGAGGGTGATCAGGGAGATGATTGGCGGCCGTGGGGAGCAAAGCCACGCCTCCCCGCGCCACAGCTAACTAGCGTGGGGCTTTTCTAACTGGGTCCTGTTGCCCGCCCCTAGCGGCCGTTCGGAGTGTTGCAGCCTCAAACCAGGGACGCGCAGAATTCCGAACGCAACGGAACCCGCCGGGGGGGGGGGGGGTTTCTCCGCACGTGTGAACGGGCACTAGAGAACGTTTTCGGGCTCTTTTGGATGCGGGCATCTCCAGGAAATAAAGTGAACCCGCATGTTCTCAGGCCGAAGCCTCCACGCCCGTGCAACCTTAGGAAGACTAAGTGGTGGGGAAAAAAAAGACGTACCTCGTGTCGGGTGAGCCTGCCTGCTAAGCAACCGGAGCCGTGTGAGTTTACTCGGAGGCGAGGCGCTCCTCCCCCTCCTCTACGGGAAATGACAGCGAGCTCAACCCCAAACTCCCTTCCTCTCGAATAAGCCCTCCCCGCATCTAGATATTAGCTTAACAGAGTGGGAAGGGACCTTGTAGGTCATCTAGTCCAACCCCCCCCCCCGCCGAAGCATGAGACCCTACACCATTTCTGAAAAAAAGCAGTGTGTGTCTGTCAGTCTTTTGCTTTGTGCAGTCTCTCCTCCCTCCCCCCCCCAGGAGGAAATTACGAATGCGGGTGTGTTTTGCTTGTGTGTGTGCGTGTGTCAGTCAGTCACGTTTCTAGTGGGGGATTTGCACGACCCGGGAGCCTTCCAAACCCGGGGGGGGGGGTTTCCCACGCAGGTTTCGCCAGCGTTTCCTCAACAAGCCTGGATGAAGTCGGTTTGCATTCCGGTTTAACCCTAATCCCGTGCCCAGCCATCAGTGCTCCGTTTCCCCAACGCACCCCAGTAATACCCACCCACCCCCAGGACCGCAGCGCCTGCAAAACTCGGAAAGCTCCACGTGCGCGCAAGTACCCACGTTCTTCCAAAGCCGCGCGTGTCGACCCCGTTGGCTCTTGAGGCTGGCTGGTCTTTTGGGTTGGGAGAAGGGAAAAAGGCGGCAAGGAGCAGCAGCCCCGCCTGGATACGACCCGCCCTCCTGCCGGCCTCGGATGGCCTCGCGGGCTGCTTGGCTGTGCCGCACCCTGCGATCAAAGCCGGACTGCCTCGGCGAAGGCGAGCCCGCGGGGTAGAAAGGCGAGGCTCGGTGCCCGCCGGCCTTCTGCTGGCCTACAGGTGGATTCCGACGTTGCACGAGACAGGAGGAGGAAGAGGGAGGAGGAGAGGAGGAGGGAGAAGAAGAGGAGGAGGGGAAGGAAGAAGAAAGAAGAAGGAAAAGAAGGAAATAAAGAAGAAGAGGAGGAGGAGGAAGGAGGAGAGGAGGAGGAGAAGGAAGAAGAAAGAAGGAAAAGAAGAAGAAGAGGAGGAAGAGGAAGAGAGAGGAGGAGGAGGAAGAGGGAGGAGGAGAGGAGGAAGAAGAAGAAGAGGAGGAGGAGGAGGAGGAGGAGGAAGAAGAAAGAAGAAGGAAAAGAAGGAAAAAAAGAAGAGGAGGAAGAGGAAGAGGGAGGAGGAAGAAGAAGAGGAGGAGGAGAAGGAAGAAGAAAGAAGAAGGAAAAGAAGGAAAAGAAGAAGAAGAAGAGGAGGAGGAGGAGGAAGAGAAAGAGAGAAAAAGAAAAAGAAAGAAAACTTACTTCCCGGGTTGCCCAGACTTTTTCAGCACCTTGCAAAGTGCTGCAAAAGCTGGTTTCTCCAGCTCTGCTCCTTGTGGATTACCTAGGCAAGGCTTCGTCTTTAAAGGGATTTTGGATATGATCTTAAGACTAATCCATGATAATACACTCGCTCGCCTTTAAAGGTCAGGAGAGAGCATTTGGTTAGGTTTTCCCGGAGTCCCTAAAACAAAACAAGCCCTTTTTTGCTTTTTTTTTTTTAAAAAGTCTTCAGAAAGAAGGAGGGTGTTGATGGTGCTGATGGAAAAAAACCCAGGTTGACGTTTGTCACGTTTTCTGTTGCAAGCCTTTCCAAAGGGGAGGCTTGGGTTTTTTCCATCTTAAGTCAGGTACTTGATCTATTCCTCTGGACTGTTGTAAATGTCAGTGAGTTGATAATTTTTGGCTCCTCTTCTGTGTATTTCCCCATTTATATTTAGGAGAAATGCCAGATGACAAAACGTGACTTTGAAAAAAAAAACGTGAGCACCAAAGCCCTTTTTAAAAAGGTGTTGAATGGCAACCTGTGGATACCTTTGGTTATAATCAGTTAAAAAGCTGATCGACTATAAACCTCTGGAGAACCATTTGGTCGGTTTAAAAAGCCCTACTTGCTGTTTTAGATAGAATAGAATATTTTATTGGCCAAGTGTGATTGGACACACAAGGAATTTGTCTTGGTGTAAATACTCTCAGTATACATAAAGAAAAGGTACATTCGTTAAGAATCAAGAATCATAACGTAAAACACTTAATGATAGTCATAGGGTACAATCAACAATCAAATCATACTAGGAAACAGTCAAGTGGGAGGGGAGGGGTGATAAGGAGTGGTGAGAAGATTAACAGTAATAGTAGTGTACACTTTGTAAATAGTTGAACAGTTGTAACGTCTGTAGTAAAGTGAGTAGGTCTACAGTGGATTTTTGACCACACTTGGAAAAGGATCTCCAAGAGGTCAAGACATTTCTGATTTAATCTCAGTCATTACACAGAGTCCAGCTACTAATGTGAATAATAATAATCACAATATACAAAAATCCTCCTAAGCATACCAATATGCTAGGAATCCATTGGCAATATCCATTTTACTCTCCGAATTCATGGAGACCTAATCAGGCTCAAAAAACATGCACCTTCCTAACCATACCTATGGGTTCTGAATCCATTGGCGATAATCCATTTTGCTCTTTGAATTCATGGAGACCTAACTCTAAGCGGATTTCACCCCAGTGGGATTTTCCCATGTACTTTGCCAAGAAACCTAGATAAGGCAGGCTTAAAAAGCATTCACCCTCTGTGCTGGTCAGACAGTATATAGTTAATTGGGAATTGGGAGTTGTCTCCTTAAGGGAATGCCTCATGGGAAATGTAGTTCATGTCATGTGGTCACATCTGCAATCCTGCTTGGTCACTGAATTGACCTCTAGTTGGGTTGGGGGAAGCCTTTGTTCTTTGCCTTGCCTGGACCCAACAGCGTGCTGGATCACTTGCTGGATCAATATGGGATGAAGATAACCATATTTTCACACTATGAAGACAACTATGCAAAGATTGGACATTAGATGAATCTCAGCGTAACTCTGAGTTATACCTTGAGGATGCCTATTATGATCCAATAAAGAGAATTTTTGTATGGAAGCCTTTGTAGAGTTTAACTGCTTATCTCAAGTATCTGAGAAGATAAATCTTGCTTGGGACAAGACACCCTCCTAACCATACCGATGGGCTTTGAATCCATTGGTGATGTCCATTTTGCTCTTTGAATTCATGGAGACCTAACCCTAAGTGGATTTGCCCACCAATGGGATTTTCCCATGTATTTCACCTGGAAACATAAATAGGGCAGGATCAAAATGTCTGCACTCTCCTAAGCCTACGGATGTGCAAGGAATCCATTGGCGATGTCCATTTTGCTGTCCAAATTCATGGAGACCTAACCCTAAGTAGATTGCCCCCCCCTCCCCCGATGGGATTTTCTTATGTATTTTACAAGGAAACTGACAATAGAAATACAATGACTGTGGCAGAAGAAAGCAAAAATGGTACGAATAGGTGCTTTGCAACCAAAACCATCTGGAGCTGCACTGAATACTATCAGCATTGACACAATCACCATCAGTCAACTGCAAAGGCCACTTTACTTGGAACAGCTTACATCTCACTATGATCCCTGTAATATTAAACAAGAACCTTTATCGCATGTCCTTGAGAAGTACTAGGTAGGTGGACATATGTGGCAATCCTGTGTAAACCTCTGGCTGACTGTGTGACGAGTATAATCATTTGAATTTTGCATTGTCAAATGATTTGGGGGAGGGTGACTTTCCAATAAAGGCGAAAATTGGGGGTATTCTCTGTTTTTGTAAAAAAAAAGAATAGAGAATACCCCAATAATTGAGCAAATGGGGAACTCGGGGTCCTGTATGAGTCAGAACTGCCTCTTGTGGTCTCTAGAAACTCAGCTGTTTAATGATAGATGACATGTACTGTTTGGAAAGGCTTAGATTAAATCAACTAGCGTTACATTAAAAAAGTAAAACAGGTTCGTTCCTGTGTAAGTCTTGAAGAACCATCATTAGCGGTTCGATTTGTTTGGTTTTAGGGTTCAGTGCAATGAAGCATTTTGAACAGTGGTGGGATTCAACATTTTTTTTTTACTACAGGTTCTGTGGGTGTGGCTTGCTGGGTGTGGCTTGGGCATGGCTGGGGAAGGATACTGTAAAATCCCCATTCCCTCCCCACCCCACTAACCTGCTTTCCAGCTCCGTTCTCCTGTGCAGGGCAACCAAAGAAGACCCAGCCAATCAGCTGGGATTCAGGAGGCAGAGAATAGGTGGGGGTGGGGCCAGTCAGAGGTGGTCTTTGCTGGTTCTCCGAACTACTCAAAATTTCCACTACTGGTTCTCCAGAACCGGTCAGAACCTGCTGAATACCACCTCTGATTTTGAAGCTTATTCAAGGAAAGATGGCTGCCACAAGGAAGAGGGGGCCAACTTACTTACCCAAACACCCCTAGGCAGGAAAAGAAACAATGGATGGAGAGAAGCAATCTAGAACTAAGGAGAACATTTCTAATAGCAAGAACAATTAACCAGTAGAAAAAATTGTCTTCGGAAATTATGGATGCCCCAATACTGGAGGCTTTTAAGGAAAGACTTGACAACCACCTATCAGAAATAGTATAGGTCTCCTACGAGAACAGGGCGTTGGACTAGATGACCTCCATGGTCCCTTCCAACTTTGTTAACTGTTACTATCTAGGTCTGGAATGAATGAATGGGTGGTTTTCAAACGGACATCATCCCTCTCTATTATCCTTGCTGGTTAGGATCAAGTTGGAGTTTTAGGTAAGCAGCATTTTTGAAGGACTATGGTTCTGTATCCCTGGCAAACATCTTCAAGAAGGATTGTTTGAAGCAGAAAAATACAGCATGAAGGGCAATGAAGTTCAAGCAAAACATTGAAGTATTGACAGCTTTAGTCAAGCACAAATTCCTATGGCTTATTTTAGGCTTTGCGGCTATAAAAGCACATCGGAAGACAGCTAACACTGATGGCTGTGAAAAATATATTGCCCTTTAACACCCATTAATTTTCAGATAGAAATATTGAAGGACTTTTCATTCTGGTTTCCTAAATTATCCCAACTATTTTTCTACAGTGGGTGACAGGTAATATGAACATAAAATGATTTCAGTTCTCCAAAACGCTGGTCCTTCCATAATCCAAGGAACATCACAGACAAGCTGGGAGGTTTGGAGACCACTTGCAATTTTCAATAGTTCAAGGGGGTAGAAAGAATTGTGGAAGGAAGGAAGGTTCAAGTTCTTAAAAACCTTTTCTGTGGAGGTCTGGAGTGGTATGGATGCTTTTCAAGATACGTTGAAATAGAATCGTGTCAAACTCAATAGATGTCTTGCATTTTACAGCCTTGGATGAAAATCAGTCTTAAGTCTTGATTTGAGAAACTCTCTTTGCGTTCTTCCTTCTCCTTTTCATTCTTTTTATATCTGGAAGGATGCCCGAACGACCCTCCCCTTAAGAGGCTGAGGGGGCCGAAAATTATTCACCATTGGGATTTTTTCATCTTCCTCTGTCGTAAAAAGGAGACTTCTGAATTTCTCCATCTGTAAACACACAAGAGATGGCATTACAGCTAGAAACACAGTCTGTAACAATGCTAACAAGCAAATGATACTAAAGAAAACAGCACTTGCATCATTTTTTTTATTTCATTCTGTTCATCCAGTCACACTCATAACTAGGTTATTCATCTACTGTTATTTGGGTTTTTTTTGTTTTGCAACAGATTTGCAAAATTTGATTTTAAACAATGCATCCTAACAGGCAAAGAAATACACAAAAAAAGTCTACAATGTACACACAATGCTTTCAAACCTGAGATATAGCTACACACACAAAAAGAAATTTATAGAAGGCCTAAGTACTGTAGTTAAAGAGGAAAACAATTTCACTGGAAACTCAATATAACCCAGTTTATGGCAATCAAAGCATGCTTAAAAGACATTTTTCCCTCAAAGATTACATTTAGAAATGATGAGAATAATCTAACAAATATACAGTCAATCTCAGCTACAGTTAAACAAATGATCTGTGACCAAGGGAAGCCCATGTCGGTTCAGTTCTTTCTACAGATGTTAAATGTAGGTGGGCAACCTTAAGATCCTACTCTCTTTTTTTTGGTTTTCAGTCTTTATAAAGAATGTTTTAAATATGCAAACCTGGGCAACTCCTTTTCTTAATCTCACAGTGCTCTTTAAGACCACCCTTCTATGATTTGCCAGAAAAATCAAATACAGGTAGTCCTCAACTTATAGCAATTCATTTAGTGACCGTTGGAAGTTACAACAGAACTAAAAAAATGATTGAAATTCAGACGGTTGGCAACTGTCAGAAAATCCTTTATCCACAAACAAATCTTCGGATTGATACCCAAATTGGACATTTTAAGAAACAAACAACCTGTTGGGTAGAATGGTGTTAAAGGCAGAACTATAATCCACAAATAACAGCCTTGCGTATGTTCCCTCTTGTTCCAAATGATTCAATACAGTATGGACAACAATAGACGTAGCATCATCAGTTGACCTGTTACTCCTATATGCAAATTGGCATGGGTCCAAAGTGGAAGACTAACCTTAATGTAGTTCGGCACCAGTCTCAAAACATTTCATGACAACAGATGTCATACAAAGCTCCTCCTCTGGTAATACTGATTTGCAAACTATGGCATTCAAATCCTTTGCTAGACCAATACTTGAATTCAGTTCTGGTGTCTGGAATCTGCACTGTATATCAGACATAAATACAATTGAGCGATTCCAGAAGTATTTTACCAGAAGAGTACTACATGCCTCTGTTTGCAACAGAATACCCTACACCACCAGACTTGAGATTCTAGGCTTAGACAACCTTGAACTACCCCAGCTAAAACTGGACTTAAGCACAGTACAGAAAATCATGTTTCAGTGTCTTACCAGTTAAATAATATTTCAGATTTAACTACAACAACACAAGAGCACACAACAGATATAAACTAAATGTAAACCACTCCAAACTCAATTGCAGGAAGTACAATTTCAGCAACAGAGTGGTCAATGTCTGGAACTCACTACCTGATTCGGTTGTCACCTGTTCAAACCCCCACTCCTTTACCCTCAAACTAACCTCTATTGACCTCACCCCATTCCTAAGAGGTCTGTAAGGGGTGTGCATAAGCGCACAATCGTGCCTACCGTCCCTGTCCTATTATCCCCAATTATTAGTTCCTATTTCTTATATTTAAACTTATGTTTATTCTTATTTCTATTGTATTGTAAGCTTTTGACAAAATAAATAAATAAATGTTAAAGCTACTGGTCTATAATCATTGAGAGATACCACTACTGTCTGCTTAGGGACTGACACTATAAGAAAAAGAAGAAGAAGCGATCACACGACCCCAGGACACTGCAACTATCATAAATATGAGTCAGTTGAATTTGAATTTGACTTAACTGTCTCCCTTACCAACAGAAATTTTAGGTTCAATAGTTGTGATCGTAAGTTGAGGACTATCTGTGTCAACAATGTTAATTCCCTGCGGATTTTCAATGGAACTCGTCTCCCTGCATAAATAAACTTACCTCTAAATCCCTCTCTAAAATGATGATAATTTTTTTAAATCATGGAGAAAAATAAAATCCATTTCTTTGGATAGGATAGCTAAATCTTTTGCAGCTTGGATGCTGAAAGTGCATTTCTAGGAGAATAAATGCTTTTTTTTTTTTTAATTCAGCATTTTCTCCTGATAACATTCGGGAAGAATATTTTCCCTAAACATCAGACATCTACATTCTCATCACTCACCCGCAAGATTTACCTGTTTCTCTGATATTTGGATAGCTTCCTTCAGTACAATCCAGGTGACACTCTCATGGAGAGGCGGCGTGGTCAAAGATCCGGCATAAGTCCAGTACCTTTTGCCAGGGGGAAGCAGAGTGCTTGGGTTGAAAGATCTGAATTCAGCTTTTGTTCCCTAGGAGACGTTTCAACAAGAAGGAGAACGTGTTATTTGATATTTGGGTTTTATTTTTTAAAAATTTAAGAAACAACTTCACTGGAGAAAGTAACTACTATATGTTTGGAAGAGTTAGCGAAAAAAGGAAACCAGGCCGACACATGGCTGGATACCCTCAAAGCTGACACCAGCCAGATCATTAAAAAAATGCAAAGAAGTAATGCAAGATTGGAAGACATTGGAGAGACCTGGCTCAGAGACTCGCAAGAGTCAGGCATGACTGAATGGATAACATCATCATCAACATCATGACATGACTAAAGATGCAAACAAAAATGATTAAAAAAAAAAAATCTTGGAAACTATAGAAAACAAAAACGAGACAAGCAAAACCCCCAAAGCACTAAAAGAACTAAAAAGTTGGGTCCATGCTGAACTGGTGAAGAAAAAGAAAGAGACACAAAATAGATCTGTGATATGGAATGATCTAAGAAAAAACAACAACCCAAAACCAGATTCCTTACCAGAAGCCACTGTAATTTTTTTTTTGCTCTGAAAGCTTAAAAGAATTTTATAAAAGTTAGAAAACTTGGATGGTCTTTTGCATGAATAATGTAATATCATTCACATCCAGGCTCCAAAATAAAATTTAAAAAACCCAACACCTTAGGTGTCAGTTTTGCATTATGATGATACAGCTAAAAGAATACTTGAAGCAGGTGCAGAAAATCTAAGCATCAAGATAAATATATAGGCATGCACATTTCTATAAATATTACAGCTTGCACAGTTTAATTGGATTTAACTTCCATAATTCACTTAAGCACAACTGATTTCCATAGGTTACTTTCAAGGGCATTAATTCTGGATTCAATCTAAAATGTCCAGCCAGAACCCAAGTATAATATCCCTTCCTCTTGTTATCACAAAACTTAATCTTTCTGGTATATGCAAGAGACGTGCAGTGTTGGATTTGATTCCATGAACTTGCTTGGAGAAGGCAGGGCCAGAAATGTAGCATCTGTCTGAGCTCCATAGGATAGCTGTGTCTTCATCAAAGAAAAGGTGCTGCTGCTTTGAAGAATTCCAGATGGTTGCCATGTCTCAACCTTCATGAGCTCTGAAGCACCTATTCAAGTCTACTTCCTCTTTAGAAGTAGTATTGAGGAAAGACAGTAGAAGGAAAACTCCAATATCTACTGTAGAATTTTATTATACGGTCATGTGGTTTGTCTCTCCCTTTCTTCCCTATCATATATCAGGTTCACTGAAATTCTGTTGTAAAGTTAGATATTAAACCTCTGTCGAGTTTGAAGTAGGTCAAAATAGGGTTGATAGTTTGTAGTTCAAAATATAATGGAAACCCATCCACTCAACTCAGCATACTGTTTGAATCAGACCGTTACAATAAACCATGATACTTTGTAGAAGACAGTAGACATCCTTCTGAAGAATGTCTTATTCAGCCTAGAAGTTCTAAAGAGGTTCTGATTTGATTCCAAACACTATTGAGAAAGTGGTTGGAGTTTGTCCACAGGGAGCCTTGGAAGAAATAGATTAACTGGATCTCTTCCAGTGATGTTGCAGGGCAAGGCATATCTAACCACTGGCTCAAAATGTCCATAAAAGAAGGGTGAGCATAACAGTCAAAAACTTAATGAGAAATAATGTCAACATTCATGTCCATATAATTCAAGAGCAATCTACATTGAAAACTTACTTTAAATTTGACCATATAGAAGGCATCAGTCAATCGGTTCATAGAAGTATGTTCTTCTCCAACCTAAATGTTGAAAAGGGCAGAGAAGAGACAATATGAAAGTAGAGGCAATTACAATACAGAGTAAGTAAATGATTTCTTCAGTCTATGACCATGATGGCAAACCTATGGCATGTGTGCCCAAAGTGGCATGCAGAGCCATGTTGCTTGGCGTTGCCCGTTCCTCTTCTGGGTTTCCGGTGCACATGCGTGCAATGATCAGCTGGCCTTCGTGCCTGCAGCAGTGCCGGAAACTGGAAGAGCTGGTCTTCCATTTTCTGGCATGGGCATGCACGCAGGCTAGCTGATTGTCACGCGTGCATGCGTGCCAGTAACTGGAAGACTAATTGGCCATTGCACATGTGCATGCCGGAAACCAGAAGTTAATGTCCTGTCACGCGCATGCCCCTGGGCAGTTCCTCTTCTGGGTTGTGGCCCCAATGAGTGAACGCCCGCGTGCTCCCTTTTCGGCACTTGTTGCTGAAAAAGTTCACCATGACTTGTAGGCTTCTGCTCTACCCACTACTTTTGAAACCATTCAGCTTTTTAGAAACACTCTGAGGTTACAATAAAAGGGAAGGAGAGTCACGATTACACCTTTCTTTTCCCGATGCCTGGAATGACTTTCGGAGGTCAGTGTGCCTAAAATGCCACTAACACACTCACTCATAGTCCTCTTGTGCAAACCCCGTGCTTTGGGCACTACTCTTAACCCAGTTCACTTCCCAGTTTTGTTCACATGGGAAAAATAGGAGGAAAGAGCATTAGGTACCTTGCTTGGAGTTGTACCCTACCGAAATGTGGAATATCAATCAAAACGTATCAATGATTCAATAAAATAAGTAAATAAAATATCCTTTCAGACTTGATTGCCTCCTGGTGTACATTTTCAAGATTCAAAGCCTGTTCATGTCTGCACAGAGAGGAAACTTGTTTTGCATTGCAAACACTGTAGAAGACTCATGTTAGCTGATAGGGCCAAAAATTTCAGCAGGAGCCTGGCAGCCCCCCACTTTCCAACTAACAGATTTTATTAATAGTTATGAGCTGCACTACACCTTTTAATAAAATTGTTCGTTGGAAATGTGTTACTATCTGGATTCTTCTGGATTTGCGGTTGTTTATCCTTTTACACTGACACTGTTCACCTTTTGTGTTAAGCTATGTACCTCATGATGGTTTGCTGAAGAGAGCAAACCACTGTTGTTGTTTTTTTACTTAATGCAAGCCATAAGCCAGGATTTTCAGAAGGACTAACTTTACTTAACATATTGGGGGGGAAACAATCACATGATGGCAAAGGAAAGGTGTGACCTCAAATGCTATAAACCATGGGGTGTCCAATCTTGGCAACTTTACATTCTGTGGACTTCAATTCCAGAATTCTGGAAGTTGCAGTCCACAAGTTTTAAAGTTGCCAAGGTTGGACACCCTTGCTGTACATCATGTGCTGATGGGTGATAAGCATATATAACACATACAGGATGCTGAGGCTCTCACCTCTAAGAAAACCCCAATCACGGCAAGGCCATCTGGGGCAGCTACAGCTTCTCCAAATGTTGTGTATTTCTTGGCATTCCAGTGAACTAAATGGAGCTGAGGAGGAGAATCAGACAACGCCGTTATCCAAAACATAAACATACAAGGTCTTGCTTTTCCTATCCCTGACCACATCAAACAGGTGAACTGAACGTATTGCTTTGTCCCAAAAAGAAAGTTGAATTTTTTGAAGGTCCAATAACATTGGCAGATAGTTGTATTTTTTACCAGGTAAGTCAGGGGAAAATGCGAAGGAAAGTATCTAGAGTAGCCAACTCCCAATTTCCCAGCCAGCCAATTCTTTAACCATTCTGGTTGGGGAATTCTGGGAGTTGTCCACACTTCTTAAAGTCACCAGAGCTGAGAATTAAAAATATGAGCTTAGATCAGTGGCTGCCACTAAATCCAGCCACTGGATTCACATAGAGGAAAAATAAAGGAACAAGATTTGCAGGATAATTAACATCTAATGGAAAAGGAAGTCCTAAAAACAGAAGATCCCAAAAAGATTCAAGAAGGGGAGGCCTGACAACATAAATGCAGTTTGCTTACGTGTGGTTTAATATATTAAGTGAACATACTGTAATTTCCAAACCATAGTTTATGCATAAGCATGTGAACCCAGCCAATGGTCAATAAACCATGGTTAAACGTGTAAAATTTTACTTGTGTGAAATTAACTTTTTTTAATTGGCTATTTGCTGTTTTTCACATTCTTGCTAAACAATGTATGATAAAGAACAGGCCTAATATATCCATTTTTTTTACACAGAACTACTAAAATAACTTTACTTTTTAGGTGATTGTATATCTACACCAGGCAAAAAGCTTTGCTTTTAGAAACCTGGAGAAAATTCAGCAATTTTTGGCTAATCTGAAAGGTCCACAGATCCTCCCATCTCCTTTATGCTTTTGTATTGTGCACAGCTTTGCTCTTTCAATGTTCATATCAACTCACCTCGCAAGGAAAAGATTTCCCATTAATGGTATGTTCGGATCCAGACTTCTGGCTTGTCCCCCAGTGAAAATGGAATTGTTTCAGCCTATAAGGATTTTTCAAGGGGCCTCCACTGATAGCTGGAACCCAAAAAGAAAGCGGAAATAGATAGGTGTTCCTATAGCAATAGCAATAGCAGTAAGACTTATATACTGCTTCATAGTGCTTTACAGCTACTACATTAGAGTAGTAACAATCGTATTCCTTTCTTCCCGTCTTCCTTGGCCAAAGGCAGAGGACAAAAGGGCAGCTGCTGCAATGGTTAAGGCACCCAGTTAGAAACTGGGAGACCTGAATTCTAGTCCCGTCTTAGGCACCAAATCAGCTGGGTGACCTTAGGCCAGTCCTTCTCATTCGGCTCTATGAAATAGGCAATGGAAACCCGCTTCCAAGATCTTGCCAGGAAAATTGTCGGAACTAGCCCAGGCAGTCATCAGGAGTCAAAAATGGACTTGAAAAAACAAAACAGAAGTGAAAAGCTAAAGGGATTACAATAAGAGAGTTTCTGTAACGGAAGACCGGAACACTTTCTAGATTTACAGTTTTATTTACAACACATGGCAATGTGCAAGCAGAAACAAAAACGGCCCTTTTTCAAAATGGTAGGTTTTGCCTCCCAAAACCCGGAGAGTTCCATATTGTAAAGTGCATTCCTCTCAGCTCCAAAACTCCTTGACTGGTTCACATATCATATTAAGCCAGTTTGCTTAACCAGAGTTTATTGAGTATGTAACAATTGTCTAGTTTCACACCGCAGCCATGAATGTTGCAATGCTTTCTTACCTTCTTTGGAAGCGCAAATGCGATAACACTCAGGGTCATCCACAGAAGCCCTGACTTCCAGATGCCCAATTCCATAGTCCAAAATTATTTTAATTGCTGGGGCTGAATGCTCTGGCTGAAATCCATGCAAAGTCATCCATTTTAGTGCCTTCAAGGGCACCAAGTCTTAATGCTGAGACCTGCAGTTTTTCCCCTTGCAAAAGAGGCTTTTGATGTATTAGCTCATTCTCAAGATGCTTGAGAAACTTTCCAATGGCTACATTCTGCGTATCAGTTCCATCTGGATAGCCTTTAAAGATGGAATACGTTTCTGAATGATCACTGGAATGCCAATTAATCTTGGAGCTATTACCTGTTCCTTTTGTTTGTTTTACAAATTGTGGTGGTTGTAGATTATATTTTGCGTAAAAAGCTGGAGGTGGGGTATGTGTTTGTGTGGAGATTTTAAAAATCAATAAATTGCTCACCTGTTTTGTCATCGACATCCTTGAAATCCACCATGACTGAATGCCCGTTGTTGGAGATGCCAAGAGATGAATCCGATCCATAGGAAATACTAAGAGGCTTCAAACTGGGGTCAAAGATAGCTTGCGTGGAGATGATATCAATTGGAGATTGACGGCTGCCTTGGGCAATGGGATAAGACTTATACCATTGAGAAGGTCCTTTGGGGAGGAAGAAAGAACAGCTAAGAACGTAAGCTAGAAGTTTCAAAATCGTGTTCCTCTTCCCCTACAATTTTGGAGTCCTAGTTGTTTAAAGTTGATGCATTAGTAGAGAACTCTTTTGCTGAGGGGATCCCAATAGCAAAACATTTTTTGCTAAGGAGGATGCTTTGCTTACAAAAGTTACAGCTGCAACTCCTGGCATTTCCTGTGGAAAGATTTGGAATTGAGGCAGGAGATAGGAGAGATTTATGGAGATCAGCCACTGTCAAATGGTGATAAACGGGACATACTTTTAAGACACAGTTAGACTTCTGCTTGTTCAGAGTGCAAACCATAAAGCTGTTTCCTGATTACATCTCATAAAGTTGATAGTGATATCTTTGGCAGAGACATAAATCTAACGTGCAATTCATCAAGATAAAATGCTCACTGTTAAAACTACTACTATATGTTAACTAGAATCCTTATCTCTTTTTGCCTGGTTTGGGATGAGTTTTAGTACAGATAGTCTTTGACTTACAACCGTTCATTTAGTGACCATTGGAAGTTTCAACGGCATTGAAAAAAGTGACTTATGACCGGGGGGGATTCAAAATTTTTAACAACCAGTTCTGTGGGCATGGCTTAGGTGGTGGGCGTGGCTTGGTGGTCATGTGACTGGGTGGACATGGCTTGGTGGTCATGTTGTTGGTGAGGTGTGGCCAACTCAATATCACATTGAGGCACGCATCTTCTCGCCGGGCCTCTCATGACTGTGGGGATGCTGCAACAGCCGTAAGTGTGAAAAATGGTCATAAGTCACTTTTTTCAGTGCCATTGTAACTTTAAATGGTCACTCCACACAAGCAAAGTACTAGCAAAGGAGGGAGAAAAAAAACTCCATTCCTGAGACAGGAAGTCTAGTCCTGCCAAGAATGTAATAAGGTTAACGGAGAGGCAGTTTCTGTAAGCAACACCAGAATGTTTCCTTCCTGCCTTCCTTACAGGATTAGGCCAGTCATTTCTTCTAACAACCGGTTCTCTGAACTGCTTAGAATGTTAACAACTGGTTCTAGTGAATAGGTGCAAACTGGTAGAATCCCACCCCTGCTTATGACCATTTTTCACACTTACGACCCTTGCAGCATCCCCAAAGTCACGTGATTTACATTTAGATCCTTGAGAAGTGGTTCATATTTATGACGGTTGCAATGTCCCAGGGCTATCTGATAACCTTTTGTGACTTTCTGACAATGAGGAAGCTAGATTCACCCAACAACCATGTTGCCAATTTAACAATTGCAATGATTTACTTAAATGTGGCAAGAAAAGTCATAAAATGGTAGCAAAACTCACCTAACAACATAAATTTTGGGCTCAATTGTGGTCATAAGTCAAGGACTACCTGTATCTCTAAATCCACCAGGAGGGATCTGGTCTGCTCTCTTTCCTCTTTCTGGGGTCCAAACGCTTCTGCCTGAGACTTTCATCTTGATTAGAGGAAGAAGAGGCCTTAGATGAAAGTCCACCCAGGAAGTGGTACTCAAAGGCTAATTGAGATCTACTGTGAACAAACAAATGCCTGCAGACTCATAACATTTTATAGATAATCTAGGTTTGTGCATGGTTATGTGTGGACATGTTATACCTGCCTTGCTCTGGCTACAGGTCAGTTCCAAGATCTCAAGCCAATGGCCTAAGAACTTTGCTTGAGGGCAATCTGCATGAAATGCTCTGAGACGCTCAGCTGCTTCCTTAGCAAAGTTGTCAGCCTTTGAATGTGGCTTGGTAGCTTGCATGGCTCTTCAAAGGAAATGGGATGAGTTAGACAATCTTTTCCCCCAATAAAGAAGTATATTTGTAGCTTGGGGGTTGAAATGAGGGGTCTTTGGTGTTCTCTGAGCTTGGTTGTTTGCTTGTACATGTGTTGTTGAGCCGCGGTGGAGCAATGGTTAGAGTGCGGTACTGCAGGCTACTTCTGATGACTGCCGGCTGCGTGCAATTTGGCAGTTCAAATCCCATCAGGCTCAAGGTTGACTCAGCCTTCCATCCTTCCGAGGTGGGTAAAATGAGGACTCCAAACTGTTGAGGGTAATATGTTGACTTTATAAACCACTTAGAGAGGGGCTGTAAAGCACTGTAAAGCAGTATATAAGTCTAAGTGCTATTGTTATAGTTACCAACTAGGCCATACTCATCAATGCGGATGGTGATCTATGCACTGATGAGGTTACCTAGTTGGTTAATGAGCTGACTGGTAGGTCCTTGGTGCTCTCTGAGCTTGGTTGTTTTCTTGCAGACCTTTCATTACCCAAACTAGGTAACACCATCAGGGCTAGATCTTATCACTCAACTGGTCTGAGATAAGCCACAAAGAACAAGTCCCGTACAGAACTCAATAGTACTGACTGATACCTGTCTTCAACCCTGGATCAGTATCCTCAATTACCCCTGAAAGCATCAGGTACATAGTTACTCCTCCAACATCCTCTTGCCATCTCCTGCCCTGAAATAGTTGCCTTCTTAAGACTAATGGTATGTAGTCGCTCCTAACGTTAAGGTAAGTCACTCCTCTTCTGGGCCAAACTGCTTGGGGAGTATTTGTTTCCGATGCCTTATTTTTAAAAACGTGACCTATTCCTTAATCAGCATTAGAGCACCCATGTTCTATCGACTTTTTCCCCCGGTTTGATTAGCATACAGAATAATGTTTGGTCAGCATTGCTTGCAAGCATCTTTTTAATGGGTTTCTGCATTTGGAAAAGTCGATAGAAAAGGACCCCAGTTCAGCAAAAGTACTGAGTTACTTTTTTTTTTTCCTAATAAAAGACCTGAACAAAAAGACCCAAACGTCCCCTGATGTTACCAAAAAATTATAAATCGGACCCACCGATAATATAAAAGCTGCTTAAAGGTTAACCCTTTCATTCCCTGATGCATATTGCCTGATGGTAGTGGGAATGGGATGTAGGGAATAAAGCCAAGCAGTACAATATAATTATATTGAATGGAAGGAAGAAAAGATGGGATGCAGTAAAGAAGGGGGGAAAAAGAGAAGGGGAAGGGTTGTGCAAATCACCTACCATCTTTCTGGCCGTATCCCCAGCAGTTATGGCCTGTCATTATCTGGGTTGCTTTCTTCTGCTTGGCTGCCAGATCATTTAATCCAAGCGCATCAGCTTACCTGCATTTATAATAGCTCACTTGCAGGACAGTGTTCGGCTCTTAAAGAGACAGCAGCAAATTCTTCTCGTACATTTTTTACATGCTTTCAAACGGCTAGGTTGACAGAAGCTGGGACAAGAAGCTGGGACACTTTGCACCACTTAGAATTGATGTGCATGTGCGTGCATCGAACTAGGGCATTTTTCCTTCATGTGCAGATTACGGATTGTCATTCTTCAGGTTAAGAGGCCCATCAACAAGGACAGCATGGCACTTTGGTGTATGATTGGGACATTTCTGCTCTGAAGAAGTCTTACGGATGGGTTGATTACCCTAAGGTGATTAATAGTTCTGCTGAATTTAAAGCCAGTTGAAGAGCAGAAGCAAGGATGTTTTTTCGTTGTTCAAAACACAGTTGGGATTCAAAACACATTGTTTAAAACACACTTGGGACAGAATGGGGATTTCTGGTTGATATGGAATGAAGGGTTGGTGGACAGTAGTACCTATAAATTAGCATGAGAAACACTGTTTTGCATTTGTTTTAAACCTAAGCCAATATTTTGTACCATTTGAAAATATTTCGTACCATTTTTACATTTATTATAGACTTTATCATAGGACAGACTGCTGTATGGTAAATAAATAACTTTATTATAGACTGAAACTTTTCTGAACCTCAGTCCATTTTATAATTTCACCTGGAATGATGGCATAATAAAAGCAGCTGCTTTAAGTGTCCAAAGACTGCTGGATAACAGACCAGTATAAATAAACAAAGGGGTGGTTTTGGCTTTGTTTTCGTGTGTAAGACAGGCATTAATATTAAAGTTTCCCTTGCACAATAAATAGACTTGATGGGTCAGCATTATATGCACATCAAGCCAATTGCATCTTAGTCAAAGTATGGATTAAATGCAAAATGCAAAGGTAAATTATATATTGTTTTTAGGACCTTCTGAATGGATGTTACATCTTGCAGGACATCTATAAACTTTTCTGACAAAGATGCTGGTCACCCTGCAAAGGTTTGTGTGCATGTGTGTGAGTGTGTGTGTGTGTGTGTGTGTGTGTGTGTGTGTTGTGTGTGTATACACATGCACACATTTTATGAACTAAAGTCTCATCACTACATTAAAGGACAAATTAGCCTCCACAGCACACACCAATACTGTCCTTGAACAAGAGCAATAATGTGAATTTAGTTCCTCCTATGTTATTATCTCTTAGTCAAGAGTAAGGTGTTATAAAACAATTTATCACTGGATTCGTTAATGAGAAACACCATTTCAACAGCCAATTTTGAAGTATATGTGTGGGAACAGTGGTCTGGTTTGTGAAGCAATTTATACATTTTAGTCCAGAGATCCTCAATCTGAGTCTGCTTTGGCATTGCTGCCATTGAGCTATTAATTCAGTTTTTAATGGGACATAATAAAATGATCAAGTACTTGGTCAAGGAGTATCTTATTAACTTTAATATTAATTTTAAAAGGTAAAGATTCCCCTCGCACATATGTGCCGGTCGTTTCTGGCACTGGGGGGCAGTGCTCATCTCCGTTACAAAGCCGAAGAGCCAGCGCTGTTCGAAGACGTCTCCGTGGTCATGTGGCCAGCACGACTAAACACCAAAGGTGCACAGAATGCTGTTACCTTCCCACCAAAGTGGTCCCCAATTTTCTACTTGCATTTTTACAAGCTTTCAAACTGCTAGGTTGACAGAAGCTGGGACAAGTAATGGGAGCTCAGTCTATTACGCAGTGCTTAGGGATTCGAACCGCCAAACTGCTGACCTTTCTGATCGACAAGCACAGTGTCATAGCCATTGAGCCATAGCACCCTAATTATTATTCTCTCTCTCTCTCTCTCTCTCTCTCTCTCTCTCTCTCTCTCTCTATCTATCTATCTCTCTATCTCTCTATCTCTCTATCTCTCTATCTCTATCTCTATCTCTATCTATCTATCTTATATCTCCATTATTAATACGCAGTTACCCTATTTTTTAAGTGTAGGTGATAGGTTTCATTGACCTCCGGCCCATGAAGTTGCCTAATCCCTCCTGCTGTGGTTGATTTAATAAACCATAGTTAAACATGGTTTGGTATAACATACAGATTAAGAGTTACACAGGGTCATTGCTTTCAACTGGAGTGCAGTGGAAGAATTTGATCACACCGTGATAAGTATGCTCTGTTTGAGAATTTTTTCTAAGCAATTTTGAAATTGTTTTCTGTCTCTTTCTTTAGGTTACTCTGAAATTCATGATACTGTCTGAGCTACTATAGGAATATTCATTCATGTTTCTCTAAAGAATGTTGCATGAGCTGCTTCTTTATTATATACCTGAAATTATAGACACATGTCACCCCCCCAATAAATGTTCAATTTAATTGATGTTTATACTGCTTCCCCTATCAAGAATGATATTTTGAAGTAGAGAACATAATATTTTAAAATTTATAATTATAAAAATGTGATATAATTTCACAGTAATTGCAAATATAATTATAAACTATAATTGTAATTATAAACAATTTCATTTAATTCCAGTGATTCTGGAATAAACATCTCAAAATAGCATTCAAGGCTGGGTTTGCCAATAAGCCATGGTTTGTTTCAAGCATGGTATGGTTTAGTTCATCCAACATACTGAGCCAAAACCAACAAAAATGCACAGTAGGTCTTTGTGTGATGCAGGAACCAGGTCAATTTAAGTTTGTTATAACGTTATCTGTATTTTATTAATTTGACTTTTTTTTCCCAGATGACATTTTAAGAGTCACGAGTTTTTGTTTAAACTTTACCATATCCTATACGTGTCTTGATGTCTATTAATTTGCCTGATCAAAAGCCTATTTGGACTGAAAAATTTGGGTTATGACAAACTGATTTGCTTCGGGCAGCATCAGTCTTTCCCCTTCCTTTTTAAATACATTTGGACCCACCTTTCTTTGTGGTCAACAAAGTTTTGAATTCTGATTCCATCAGGATCCGAGACTTGGACACATATTGTCTCTACCTATTCCAGAGCAGTTTTGCTTTAGCAAAATGGCACCTTGGAAGCACACCTTCTCAGGAACAATCCTAGTCCTTTGGAATCACTTCCCATCTTTTCAGCCTTCTGCCGGTAGTAATCATAAAATCATAAGAGTTTTGGATTTCCCATCAAGCTTTGTGATGGGGATTGAGCAGGGAGGTTGCCTGAAGATCTGGCATCTGGTGGGAAGGGTGGTTTTGATTTTAGCTCTATTTTCATTGGTTGTTATGAGCCTTCTAGGATCCTTATTATGAGATTGGTGGCCATGTATGTTTTGTAAATAAATAAATAAAACAAGAATGGCTAAACACTCAAAGCCACCTCCCCTGACTAGATGTTCTGCAGATGTTTGGACTACCTTCCAGAGCTGGCATCAAATCCAGTTGGAAAGGCTGACTTTAAGAGCACGAATCATAAACTTGTAATCAGATTAATCTGGCCAGGGGAAATTACCATGAACGACGTGTCCCTTTTGATTTCATTCAGCAGAGTGCCAAATATTGAAATCTGCACAAAGAGGAAGAATGAACATAGCAAACAGAATGCACGAAGGCAGAGAAAAGGGGCATCAGATAAAAGATCTGAGAAAGAGGAAATGATTCCTTACTATCATTCTCTATTATAAAATATTAGCTCTATACCCATGCTTTGCTACGAAACTATGTGATCGGGCTTAGTTTTTGGGGAGGAAAATAAGGGGGGCGGAATTGTGCCTCTGGCTAGCGTCCCATCAGTGTGTGAGAGAGTTGAGAGCTGTTTGGAAACTGAAACAATATTTGCTGTGTGAGCAAGAAGGAGACAGCAAGGAGCCTGGTCGTGGCTGAGCTCAACGGTTCTGTACTAAAGCTGTTGCTGGTTGCTGCTGTGAAACTAAAACTGAAACTCCTTTCCTCTGCTTGGTGTTTTGCATTTAGAACAGATTTCTTTTCAGGTGGGGAGGGGGAATAGAACTCCTTAGCATCAGAGCATGTTAATAATAATATACAAAATACTAACGCTCTGATGGTCATTTCAAAAAATCCTTTCTTAGCAAGCCCCTAGAAGCCAAGAGGAACATACGTGCCAAATTTCAAGTTTGTAGGCTTTATGGTTCTGGAGATTTTGTGATGATGCGTGAGTGGCATTTTGCTTTTATATATATAGGTTACAATAATCATCTCATACATTTTTTTTCTTCTTCTGTTCAATCGTGTCCAATTCTCCAAGACTGCCAGGACAAATTCCTGCAGTTTTCTTGGCAGCTTTTTCAGAAGTGGTTTGCCATTGTCTCCTCTTCCTGAGACAGCGTGATCAGTCCAAGGTCACCCAGCTGGTTTTGTGCTTAAGGCAGAACTAGAACTCCTGGTCTCTGGTTTCTTGCCTGATGCCTTCACTACTACAACAAATTGGCTCTCTCCAGGCCTATTTATCTAGGAATAAATTCAGTGAACTTCATGGAACATGCCTCTATGAAGGCATACTAGGGTTAGCATGGAAATCAATTCTGTCTACAGTATATACTACTAAAACTCTCACTGTTTGTATCTTCAAGTTAGCCCAAATGGTGCATTACATCACAATTTTTAGTCAAGAGACCTGTAATCCACTATCTTAAATAATGCATTAAAAAAAATCCAGGACCCATTACTATGCAGAACTGAAATGTTCACAATATTCAAAACCAGTTTTATTTGAAAATTGTGGCCGTTGCAGTATCCCCAGTCACATCATTGTGATTTCCAATGCTACCTACCATCTTCCCACAAGTAGTCAATGGAGAAACCAGCGGGAAGTCGGAAGACGCTGCTGCTCCCACTGCTATTTTGCCCACTAGTGGTTATTCTGTTTATCTGTTTATGGTAGCAAATACAATTGTGGGAACACAAGTCTTGTGTCGCTTGCATTGCAAACAACACGAGGTAGTAAGGGGAGGGAGGATGCC